CACACACACACACACACACTTTATGGCCCTGCCCATCAGCTGGTCCCGCGACATTTACAGGCTACACCCAACTCTTTCTCTCTCTCTCTCTCTCGTTGTGCAGCGCTCAGCTGATGATGTGCACTCACTCGCAAGCTGTAGTTGATCTTGATGCTTATGTTGGTGCAGTGTTTTCTAGAAGGCAGTGCAGTTCATAACTATAATGATGTAAAAATGAGAACAAACTCTTGATAATAAATTAATAAAGTTGCCTATTTAGATGAGGCGCTGTGTGCACAACCCGTGGAGAACAGTCGGAGGGTTTACGCACATGTGCCAGCTCTGGGTCGAGCTGTGATCATAAACATGCCTGATACCTGAAAAAATGTTTTGGCTCTGATCAAAAGCAGCCTAAAAATAAAATAAGAATTTTGTATTTTGTGCCACATCTGGCCCAAACCTGTGCTCAACCATCCGTTCTACAGATCCACGCTGACGGGTTGTGGAGTGGGGGGAAAAAAACGAACCCATAGTCCTTTTACAGGTCCGGGCCAAATGCTCACCTGACCCAGAGCAAATAACTTTTCAGTCAGGGTAAACAAATAATTTTGCGGAGTTTGTCATTAAAGTTGCTGTCCTAAAGCAGCTGGAGTTTGCTGCTGCACTGTGATGACAAAATGCTGTCAGACGAGGAAATGTCATTTTCCTCGTTTTCCCCTCAAAATAAAGTTTGTTGTTAACTAAATTACCTAAATTTTGCTTTACTCACCATCTCTTGCGTAAAAAGACTGGGTTTACAGTGCAAGTTTCTGACCCGCTGTTCCAAACTTCAGTATATATTATTTACATGTGTTTAGTTTTTTTCATGGTCATTTATAAAGCAGTTGGATTTACTGTGATCATCCTAATAAATGATTTAAGTAACAAAACAATCACAGGTGAAAACTTCATTATTTAACTGTTGCTTGATGATGAGTCAAGCTCAAAAGTGGCTGCTGGTGAGCTGAAAAATATTTAAAAATAAAAAAACACCTTATTCATGACTGCAGTTTGTTTTATTTTATTTTTCGTTTTAGACTTTATTTGCAGCTTTTCCATATCTGATGACTATCAATACCCACTGAGATTACCGTGTGGCAAAACTGAACGTGTGCCCCTGACGTACTAGGTGCGTGAGTGCGTAACCCAGCCCCCCACCCCACCCCCACCTAAAAAATTAATCCAGCGCCGCTGCATGGGCCCCTCTCCCTTCCCGGGCCCTGGGTACTGAGGTTCACTTTTCTCCCCACTTCCAGGCCTATGGAAATAACTGGATAAAATGTATTGATCTTTATGAAAATAATGTTACTGTAGCTCAGTAATTTTAGTTTCTTTCATGCTAACGTTTTATTGTGTGGTTTTACAGGTGCACTGGATGATGCTCTGGATTACATCAAGGAGCTTGAAGCCAGACTCCAGAAAGTAGATTTCTCTCCCACACTTTTCAGCCGTTACTGTGCCTCTGATGACCAGATCCAGTTCTACACCAAATTTCCATCTGAGTGTGTGTTCCGGATCTTCTGGGAGTCTATTGCACCATCTGCATCCCGCATTGCGTACTGGACCAGAGCACGGAGACTCGGAGAGGAAGCGTTTGCTGAACCCAGCCCCGCCTGTTACATGCCTTTGATTGACGAGTTCTTGATGTACTCGTTCAGGGTGGCAGTGGGCATGAAGGAGCAGCTCATTGCTGATATGTTTCAGGTCAGCGTAGCTACTGTCAGCCGAGTGACCGTCACCTGGGCCAACTACCTTTATATCGTATTCTCTTCCATCAACGTATGGATCAGTCGGGAGAAGGTCAAAGCCAGCACACCTCAGAGATTCCTGAAGTTCTCTCCAAATGTACGAGTCATCTTGCGCTGCACAGAAGTTGCTCTGGAGTCTGCATCATCCCCCACATTACCGTCTGAAACAATCCCTGCCTACAAGAACCGCACCACTCTGAAGGGGCTGATCGGAGTCGCTCCCTGTGGCCTGGTGACATTTGTTTCAGCGTTGTACACAGGCTGCATCTCTGATAAAGAAATCACTAAGATCAGTGGAATCATTCCTCTGCTTGAGCCAGGGGATGAAGTCATGGCAGATAGAGGCTTCCTCATCCAAGACCTCCTCTATAAAGTTGGAGCCAAACTCAGCGTTCCACCATTTAGACATCCTGGCCAGTTCAGCAAGAAGGAGACAGAGGAGACCCAAGCCGTTGCTCGGCTGCGGATCATTGCGGAGCGAGCAGTTTCCAGAGTGAAGCGCTACCACATCTGGAATTCTCCTGTGCCGCTCACTTTAATAGGAGCTGTCAATCAGATCTGGCACAACTGTTGTGTTTTGGCAAATTATCAAGGCCCGTTTGGTTTTGGAGACTAAATTATTGTTCAAGTGTTATTTAAATACAACCCCTGGCAAAAAGTATGGAATCACCAGTAGTGGATGAGCACTCATTCAGACATTTCATTCTGTAAAACAAACTCCGATCAAAAACATGATACAATAATAAGCTGCAACGATTAATTTATTAATCAATGACTAATCGATTATTAAAATAATCGATGACTAATTTAATAATCGATTAATCTTTTTTTTCTTTACTTAGTTTTTTCTCCAAACTGCTTTGACACCTTCCACTGCCACATCTGCCTTTCTGTCCTTGACACACATGCACAGTAGTGGTAACTGGGGTAGGCCGTGGACGTCACAAGACATTATACAGACAGGCTCTGGTATCATGGCTCAGAGTACTGCACCCAGCGGGTACCCGCAGAAAACTGTAATCTACGGGTTGAAAATAAAACAGTATTGTTTCACGGGCATGGGTATAAATAAAGAAAATGTGGGCGGGTAGACAGTACATATGAATGAGCAAATCTATTCTGACCGGAAGTATAGCCGCCCTCATATATATGTATACGTCACCCCGTTAGCATGATGGATGGAGAGCAGCTAGCTAGCTAACGGCTGCTGCGTCATGGAGGGAAGACAGGCGAAAAATAGCTTCTGGTGACTACCAAATAGCAGACAATGCATCATTGAAAGCTAAATCGGATGTTTTTTAAGTTCGTAACTGTTTTTATCATTTAAGGAACATTTCAAAGCTGAGATCTTTTGTGTCACAGAAGGAACTAGAGATGGTTGTGTAGGGGTCACCTCGAGTGAAGAAACAGGAGTTACTGCCTCAAAGCAGGTCTCGCACAGGCCTGAGAGGAGGCAGGAACGCTGAACTCTATTTTAGGCCATGGTGGGTCATTTCAACCTACACGAGGACTTCAGTTCTCTTAATCAGATATTAAACAGAAACAATCTGTTCATGATTCATTGGTTGTTTAACTAAGAATGTTTATGCATTTGTTAATCATAATGATGACTGTCACAAAGAATATAGAATCACTTCTATTCTTTTATCGTGCCTAAAATAGATTAATGAATCACAGAAAATCAACACCATGTTTTTCATTGTGTTTTTATAAATCACTGTTTTTATTTTACTGAAACATCAGTAATATAATTTTGAGTTTTTCTTAAGAAAATCCTACATTTATCTGGACACAGGTTCAGAATGATTATTTAAACAGGTATTAATTAATCATGATAAATGTTTCACAGTGGTTTCTTTTACAGTCCAGCAGAAAGAAGCAGAGAAGATATTTTCATAATGTCTGTAAACAGCTAGAGCAATGGCCTTCAGCTGGCAACTCTCTTATCTTCTTTTCCTTTCTGACTGGTGGCTTATCTGAGGCAGTCCACTCTGACTTACTAACACACGGACGCCTTAGACAGACTTAGGAGTGTTCTTCCTGAGGCCAATACAGGAGGACGAGGCTGATTCTCTCCGGAGAAACAGCTGGGCCTCGGGTTTCACCCWTCCAGCCAAATAGGGTGACCTGAAGCCCAGGGACAAGGAGCAAGCCGCTCCATGTCCACCTAAGAGACCCAGGTCTCTTTAAAGTGTTTTCATCTTCCGAGGGGAGACTTTTATTTTGAAAGACGACCGAAACCACAGCTGGAATCTTTCTAGCCGGGCTGAAACARATGGAAAGTCACCTAAAYGACACCTTCTCGCCAAGGACCAGTTCTGGACAAGCTTCCTGAAGGGTCGTGGGGAGACAG